ACTATACACTACTACACTATACACTACTACACAACACTATACACTACTACACTACACTATACACTACACTATTCACTACTACACAACACTATATACTACACTACTACACTATACACTACTACACTATACACTACTACACTATACACTCTACACTATACACTACTACACTAGACACTACTACACTACACTATACACTACTACACTACACTATACACTACTACACTACACTACTACACTATACACTACTGCACTACACTATACACTACTACACTACACTATACACTACTACACCACACTACACTATACACTACTACACTACACTATACACTACACTATACACTACACTATTCACTACTACACTACTATATACACTACTACACTACACTATACACTGCACTACTATACACTACACTACTACACTATACTATACACTACTACACTATACACTACTACACTACACTATACACTACTACACTACACTATACACTAATACACTATACACTACACTATTTACTCCTACACTACACTATACACTACTACACCACACTATATACTACACTACTACACTATACACTACTACACTATACACTACTACACTACACTATACACTAGACACTACTACACTACACTATAGACTACTACACTATACACTACACACTATACACTACTACACTACACTATACACTGTACACTACACTATACACTACTACCCTACACTACTACACTACACTAAACACTACTACACTACACTATACACTACTACACCATACACTACTACACCATACACTACTACACTACACTATACACTACTACACCATACACTACTACACTACACTATACACTACACTATACACTGCACTATACACTACTACACTATACACTACACTATACACTACTACACCATACACTACTACACTATACACTATTACACTATACACTACTACACCATACACTACTACACTATACACTACTACACTATACACTACTACACTACACTATACACTACACTATACACTACTACACTACACTATACACTACTACACTACACCATACACTACACTATACACTACTACACTATACACTACTACACTACACTATACAATACACTATACACTACTACACTACACTACCCTACTACACTACACTATACACTACACTATACACTACTACACTACACTATACACTACACGATACACTACTACACTACACTATACACTACTACACTATACACTACTACACTACACTATACACTACTACACTATACACTACACTATACACTACTACACTACACTATACACTACTACACTATACACTACACTATACACTACTACACTATACACTACTACACTACACTATACACTACACTATACACTACACTATACACTACACACTACACTATACACTACTACACTACACTATACACTACTACACTATACACTACTACACTATACACTACTACACTACACTATACACTACTACACTATACACTACTACACTACACTATACACTACTACACTATACACTACACTATACACTACACTACTACACTACACTACTACACTACACTATACACTACTACACTATACACTACTACACTATACACTACTACACTATACACTACTACACTACACTATACACTACACTATACACTACTACACTATACACTACTACACTACACTACTACACTACACTATACACTACTACACTACTACACTACACACTATACACTACACTATACTCTACTACACTACACTATACACTACTACACTACACTATACACTACTACACTACACTACACACTATACACTACTACACTATACACTATACTATACACTACTACACTATACACTACTACACTACACTATACACTACACTATACACTACTACACTGCACTATACACTACTACACTATACACTAATACACTATACACTACACTATTCACTACTACACTAAACTATACACTACTACACTATATACTACACACTACACTACACTATACACTACACACTACTACACTACACTATACACTACTACACTATACACTACTACACTACACTATACACTACTACACTATACACTACTATACTACACTATACACTACACTATACACTACACGATTCACTACTACACAACACTATATACTACACTACTACACTATACACTACTACACTATACACTACTACACTATACACTACTACACTAGGCACTACTACACTACACTATACACTACTACACTACACTACTACACTATACACTACTGCACTACACTATACACTACACTATACACTACTACACTATTCACTACTACACTACTATATACACTACTACACCACACTACACACTACACTATACACTACTACACTACACTATACACTACACTATACACTACTACACTATTCACTACTACACTACTATATACACTACTACACTACACTATACACTACTACACTACACTACTACACTATACACTACACTACTACACTATACTATACACTACTACACTATACACTACTACACTACACTATACACTACTACACTACACTATACACTAATACACTATTCACTACTACACTACACTGTACACTACTACACCACACTATATACTACACTACTACACTATACACTACTACACTATACACTACTACACTACACTATACACTACTACACTACACTATAGACTACTACACTATACACTACACACTATACACTACTACACTACACTATACACTGTACACTACACTATACACTACTACCCTACACTACTACACTACACTAAACACTACTACACTACACACTACTACACTATACACTACTACACCATACACTACTACACTACACTACTACACCATACACTACTACACTACACTATACACTACTACACCATACACTACTACACTACACTATACACTACACTATACACTACACTATACACTACAATATACACTACTACACTATACACTACACTATACACTACTACACTATACACTACTACACCATACACTACTACACTACACTATACACTACTACACTACACTATACACTACTACACTATACACTACTACACTATACACTATTACACTATACACTCTACACTATACACTACTACACTAGACACTACTACACTACACTATACACTACTACACTACACTACTACACTATACACTACTGCACTACACTATACACTACACTATACACTACTACACTATTCACTACTACACTACTATATACACTACTACACCACACTACACACTACACTATACACTACTACACTACACTATACACTACACTATACACTACTACACTATTCACTACTACACTACTATATACACTACTACACTACACTATACACTACTACACTACACTACTACACTATACACTACACTACTACACTATACTATACACTACTACACTATACACTACTACACTACACTATACACTACTACACTACACTATACACTAATACACTATTCACTACTACACTACACTGTACACTACTACACCACACTATATACTACACTACTACACTATACACTACTACACTATACACTACTACACTACACTATACACTACTACACTACACTATAGACTACTACACTATACACTACACACTATACACTACTACACTACACTATACACTGTACACTACACTATACACTACTACCCTACACTACTACACTACACTAAACACTACTACACTACACACTACTACACTATACACTACTACACCATACACTACTACACTACACTACTACACCATACACTACTACACTACACTATACACTACTACACCATACACTACTACACTACACTATACACTACACTATACACTACACTATACACTACAATATACACTACTACACTATACACTACACTATACACTACTACACTATACACTACTACACCATACACTACTACACTACACTATACACTACTACACTACACTATACACTACTACACTATACACTACTACACTATACACTATTACACTATACACTACTACACTATACACTACTACACTATACACTACTACACTATACACTACTACACTATACACTACTACACTATACACTACTACACTACACTATACACTACTACACTACACTATACACTACTACACTATACACTACACTATACACTACTACACTACACTATACACTACACTATACACTACTACACTACACTATACACTACACTATACACTACTACACTATACACTACACTACTACACTATACACTACTACACTATACACTATACACTACACTATACACTACACACTACACTATACACTACACACTACACTATACACTACTACACTACACTATACACTACTACACTACACTATACACTACTACACTATACACTACTACACTACACTATACACTACACTATACACTACTACACTACACTACTACACTATACACTACACTATACACTACTACACTATACACTACTACACTATACACTACTACACTATACACTACTACACTATACACTACTACACTACACTATACACTACTACACTACACTATACACTACTACACTATACACTACTACACTACACTATACACTACACTACTACACTATACACTACACTATACACTACACTATACACTACTACACTACACTATACACTACTACACTACACTATACACTACTACACTATACACTACTACACTACACTATACACTACTACACTATACACTACTACACTATACACTACTACACTACACTACTACAATACACACTACTACACTATACGCTATACACTACTACACTATACACTACTACACTACACTATACACTACTACACTATACACTACTACACTATACACTACTACACTATACACTACTACACTATACACTACACACTACTACACTATACACTACTACACTACACTATACACTACTACACTATACACTACACTATACACTACTACACTACACACTACTACACTATACACTACTACACTACACTATACACTACACTAGTAGCCTCACCTTCCCGTAGGCTCCCTGTCCCAGCACCCGCAGCAGCTGGAACGAGTCTGGGCCCGGTGGGGGAGATGGGGGGAGGGACCCCCCAACCCCAATGTCGCCACCCCCCAGCGGTCCCAGCTGGGAGCCCAGCACCAGCAACTCTGTGGCACCACAACCATCGTCTACACACACGCAGTCCTGGGAGATACACAGAGATACATAGAGATACATAGAGATACATAGAGATACATAGAGATAGATAGAGATACATAGAGACACCCATAGAGATACATAGAGATACATAGAGACACTCATAGAGACACTCATAGAGATACACAGAGATACATAGAGATACATAGAGACAACCATCGTCTACACACACACAGTCCTGGGAGATACACAGAGATACTTAGAGATAGATAGAGATACATAGAGATACCCATAAAGATACATAGAGACACTCATAGAGATACACAGAGATACATAGAGATACACAGAGATACATAGAGATACATAGAGACACTCATAGAGATACACAGAGATACATAGAGACAACCATCGTCTACACACACACAGTCCTGGGAGATACACAGAGATACTTAGAGATAGATAGAGATACATAGAGATACCCATAGAGATACATAGAGACACTCATAGAGATACATAGAGATACACAGAGATACTTAGAGATAGATAGAGACACTCATAGAGATACACAGAGATACTTAGAGACACCCATAGAGATACATAGAGATACATAGAGATACACAGAGACAACCATCGTCTACACACACAGTCCTGGGAGATACACAGGGATACTTAGAGATAGATAGAGACACTCATAGAGATACACAGAGATACATAGAGATACATAGAGATACATAGAGATACACAGAGATACATAGAGACACTCATAGAGATACACAGAGATACTTAGAGATACATAGAGACACTCATAGAGATACACAGAGATACACAGACACACACAGAGATACATAGAGATACACAGAGATACATAGAGACACCCATCATCTACACACACACAGTCCTGGGAGATACACAGAGACACACAGAGATACATAGAGATACATAGAGACACACAGAGATACTTAGAGATGCATAGAGACACCCATCGTCTACACACACACAGTCCTGGGAGATACACAGAGATACATAGAGATACATAGAGACACTCATAGAGATACATAGAGACAACCATCGTCTACACACACACACAGTCCTGGGAGATACACAGAGATAGATAGATAGAGACACTCATAGAGATACACAGAGATACATAGAGATACATTGAGATACACAGAGATACATAGAGATACACAGGGACACCCATAGAGATACATAGAGACACATAGAGACACCCATAGAGATACAGAGAGACAACCATCGTCTACACACACACAGTCCTGGGAGATACACAGAGATATATAGAGATACTCATAGAGATACATAGAGATACATAGAGACACATAGAGATACTTAGAGACACCCATCATCTACACACACGCAGTCCTGGGAGATACATAGAGATACATAGAGATACTTAGAGATACATAGAGATATATAGAGATACATAGAGATACACAGAGACAACCATCGTCTACACACACGCAGTCCTGGGAGATACACAGAGACACACAGAGATACACAGAGATACATAGAGACACCCATAGAGATACATAGAGACACCCATAGAGATACATAGAGACACTCATAGAGATACATAGAGATACACAGAGACAACCATCGTCTACACACACGCAGTCCTGGGAGATACACAGAGACACACATAGAGATACACAGAGATACATAGAGACACATAGAGATACTTAGAGACACCCACCATCTACACACACGCAGTCCTGGGAGATACATAGAGATACATAGAGGTACATAGAGACACATAGAGACACCCATAGAGATACACAGAGGCACCACAACCATCATCTACACACACACAGTCCTGGGAGATACAAAGAGACACCCATAGAGATACTTAGAGATACACAGAGACTCATAGAGATACATAGAGACAACCATCATCTACACACACACAGTCCTGGGAGATACACAGAGACACCCATAGAGATACTTAGAGATAGATAGAGACACATAGAGACACCCATAGAGATACATAGAGATACATAGAGATACACAGAGACACCCATCATCTACACACACACAGTCCTGGGAGATACACAGAGACACACAGAGATACATAGAGATACTCATAGAGATACTTAGAGATACATAGAGACACATAGAGACACCCATAGAGATACATAGAGACAACCATCATCTACACACACACAGTCCTGGGAGACACACAGAGATACATAGAGATACACAGAGACACTTATAGAGATACATAGAGACACCCATTGAGACATACAGAGATACACAGAGATACTTAGAGATACTCAGAGACTCATAGAGACACCCATAGAGATACATAGAGACACACAGAGATACATAGAGGCACACAGAGATACATAGAGACACCCATAGAGATACATAGAGATACTTAGAGACACCCATCATCTACACACACACAGTCCTGGGAGATACACAGAGATACACAGAGATACTTAGAGACTCATAGAGACACCCATAGAGATACATAGAGATACATAGAGACACCCATAGAGATACATAGAGACACCCATAGAGATACACAGACACACCCATGATCTACACACACACAATCCTGGGAGATACACAGAGATACACAGAGATACATAGAGATACCTAGAGACACACAGAGATACATAGAGATACCCATAGAGATACATAGAGATACCTAGAGACACACAGAGATACATAGAGATACCCATAGAGATACATAGAGATACTTAGAGACACACAGAGATACATAGATATACATAGATACACCCATAGAGATACATAGAGACACACAGAGATACATAGAGATACACAGAGACACACAGAGATACTTAGAGACACCCATAGAGATACATAGAGATACATAGAGACACAGAGACACAGAGACACCCATAGAGATACACAGAGATACATAGAGACACAGAGACACCCATAGAGACACCCATAGAGATACACAGAGATACATAGAGATACATAGAGACACCCATCATCTACACACACATAGTCCTGGGAGATACACAGAGACACAGAGATACTTAGAGACACCCATAGAGATACACAGAGACACACAGAGATACATAGAGATACATAGAGACACATAGAGATACATAGAGATACCCATCATCTACACACACAGTCCTGGGAGATACACAGAGATACATAGAGATACATAGAGACACCCAGAGACACACAGAGACACATATGTATGTATCTCTGTGGGTCTCTATGTATCTCTGTGGGTCTCTATGGGTGTCTCTATGTATCTCTGTGGGTCTCTATGGGTGTCTCTATGTATCGCTATGGGTCTCTATGTATCGCTATGGGTCTCTATGTATCTCTGTGTGTCTCTATGTATCTCTGTGGGTCTCTATGTATCTCTGTGTGTCTCTATGTATCTCTATGCGTCTCTATGTATCTCTATGTATCTCTGTGGGTCTCTATGTATCTCTATGGGTCTCTATGTATCTGTGGGTCTCTATGTATCTCTGTGGGTCTCTATGTATCTCTATGTATCTCTGTGGGTCTCTATGTATCTCTGTGTGTCTCTATGTATCTCTATTGGTCTCTATGTATCTCTATGTATCTCTATGTATCTCTGTGGGTCTCTATGTATCTCTGAGTCTCTGTGGGTCTCTCTGATACACCACATCAGCTCATTGTGCACAACAATATAAACAAGTGTAAGTACTTATTGGTAGAGACATTATTTGTAGTTTACCACTCCTATACTTTGCAAAAAAAACTAATTTTACGGAACAGTGCGTTCGTAAGTCGGGGACCAACGCTCACTGTACACACCCGGATGTGTTCGTAAGTCGGGGATCGTCACTGCTCGGCGCACGTGGCGCTTTAAATCGAGGGGCGTGGCCTCTGTGGAAAAGGAGGGCGTGGTCCCAATCACGCGATGGGCGTGGTCTACTGGCCACCCAATCGTCTGGGAGGAGTGGGCGTGGCGTCGCACCAGATGTGGATGGGCGGGGCGAGTGGAGAGAGGGCGTGGCCACCCCCCACACTCTTGCATGGCCGGGGGAGTGGCCTCGACTCTAAGGGGGCGGGATCCCTCCACTCACCCACTTGCATGGGTAAGGGCGGGGCGAGTGGGCGTGGCAAGTGGTGGTGTGGGGTGGGACGTGGGCGTGGCGAGTGGTGGTGGTGTAGGCGTGGTGGTAGAAAGTGGGCGGGGCGAGTTGTGGTGGTGGGCGTGATGGTGGTGCGCGTGGTGGTGGGCGTGGCGAGTGGTAGTGGTGGGCGTGATGGAGCAACGTGGGCGTGGCGAGTAGTGGAACGTGGGCGGGGCGAGTAGTGGTGGTGGGCGGGGAGAGTCGTGGTTGTGGGCGGGGCGAGTAGTGGTTGTGGGCGTGGCGAGTAGTGGTTGTGGGCGTGGCGATTAGTGGAGGGCGTGGTGTGTTGGAGGGCGTGGCGAGTAGTGGTTGTGGCGAGTGGTGATGGGCGGTGGCGAGTAGTGGTTGTGGGCGTGGCAAGTAGTGGTTGTGGGCGTGGCGAGTTGTGGTGATGGGCGTGGCGAGTGGTGGCTATGGGCGTGGCGAGTAGTGATTGTGGGCGTGGCGAGTGGTGGCGATGGGCGTGGCGAGTGGTGGCGATGGGCGTGGCGAGTGGTGGCGATGGGCGTGGCGAGTAGTGGCTGTGGGCGTGGCGAGTGGTGGCGATGGGCGGTGGCGAGTGGTGGCGATGGGCGTGGCGAGTAGTGATGATGGGCGTGGCGAGTGGTATTGATGATGGGCGTGGCGAGTGGTAGTGATGATGGGCGTGGCGAGTGGTGGCTGTGGGCGTGGCTTCTTCACTAACCGCCGTCTCCTCAGCGTCGTCGTCCGCCGAGGCCGAGGAGGCGTCTTCGGCTCCCTCGGCGCCGTCCGTGAGGTCGATGGCGAAGACGTTGTCGCCCATCCCTAACGCCTCCAGAATTAAAGCGTTCAACTTGTTGTCGTCGTTGAGAACTTGTTTGCTTAAAAGTTGAGGTGCGCGCGTTTGTGTGTGTGAGGGGGGGTGTGTGAGGTGAAAAGGGGGAAGGGGAAAAAAAAATAGCGCGAACTTCGGGCGCGTTGACCTCTCTCTCAGTTCCCCTGCCGCCTTTGTCTCTCTCCCCCTCTCTCTCTCCCCCTCTCTCTCTCCCCTCTCTCTCTATCCCCGCTCGCTCTCTCCCGCGCGCAAGCGCGCGCGCGCGTGTCAAATCGCTTCCGGATCGCGCCACTGCGCATGCGCCGCGTTTCCCGCGTGCCGAGCGTGACGTCACGACCGGGTCGCGCGCTGGCGGGGGAGGGGAGGGGGTGTGGGGGATTTCTCAGCCCCCCCACCCTTGCCCCTCTCTGAAATTCCATGGGAGGTGACGTCACGGGGGGGTGGCACCCCCCCCCCGCACGATGCCCAAATACGTGGGAGGGGAAGTGACGTCACCGGGATTCCCCCCCAACTCCACGATGCCCAAATTTGGGTGGGGGAAGTGACGTCACGGAGGAATTCCTCCCCGCCAACACCTACACTATGCCCAAATATGGGGTGGAGATTAGGGGGATTCCCCTTCCCCCCACTACACCATGCACAAATATGTGAGGGGGAGGTGACGTCACAGGGGATTCCTCACCCCTTCCCCCCCACTCCACGATGCTCAAATATGGGGGGGGGAAGTGACGTCACGAGGGATTCCCCCTTCCAACTCCACGATGCCCAAATACGGGTAGGGGGAGAAGAGTGAGGGATTTTTCCCGTGACGTCACCTCCGCCATATGGAGTTGGAGGGGGCGAGGTGACGTCATGGGGGATCACGCCCCCCCCCTTCCAACTCAACGATGCCCAAATATGGGTGAGGGAGGAAGGGAAGGTGACGTCACGGGGAATTCCCACCGCCGACTCCACGATTAAGGGAAGGATCTGACATCATGGGGGATTCCCCACTCCACGATGTCCAAATATGGCGGGGTAGGTGACGTCACGGGGGATTCCCACCCCCGACTCCCACGATGGAGAGAGGGGGAAGTGACGTCATAGGCATGGGGGGGATTATCCCCCCACCCACAACTCCACGATGCCCAAATATGGGTAGGGAAGGGGTTGTGTGAGGTGACGTCACGAGGAATTCCCACCCCCAACAACTCCACGATGCCCAAATATGGGGGGGGAGAAGGTGACGTCTAGGACACGCCCACTTTCCACTGCAGTAATCCGAAGAGCCATTAGGGGCCGTCCATAAATGACGTCACGCATCTAGTGAGGGGTGGGGGTGGGGGTCAGACATTTGTGACGATGTGTGACGAGGAGGGGTGAGAAATGTGACGTCACATCAAAATGCGCAACTTTAAATAAATATAGACAACACGTTCTACTTAAAGTTGTTCATTTAAAGCTTTCGTGACTGCAGGGATTAAATATTCTTGGTTCTTTCGGTAAAGTCACCACCACGTAGAAGGGAAACAATAAAATAATAAAAAATATAAAACAATAAAATTATCACGACGTTTTCAACTGCAACACAAAGCAGCAATCATCATCAGGTGTGAAAACCACCACGTAGAAGGGAAAACAATAAAATAATAAAAATATAAAACAATAAAATTCTCACGACGTTTTCGACTGCAACACGAAGCAGCAATCATCATCAGGTGTGAAAACCATCACGTAGAAGGGAAACAATAAAATATAAAAAATATAAAACAATAAAATTCTCACGACGTTTCGACTGCAACACAAACAGTCATCATCAGGTGTAAAAACCATCACGTAGAAGGGAAACAATAACATAATAAAAATATAAAACAATAAAATTCTCACGACGTTTCGACTGCAACACGAAGCAGCAATCATCATCAGGTGTGAAAACCACCATGTAGAAGGGAAACAATAAAATAATAAAAATATAAAACAATAAAATTCTCACGACGTTTACGACTGAAACACAAAGCAGCAATCATCATCAGGTGTGAAAACCACAGCAAGAACAATTTAAAAAAAGTGGCGTTTATATTCTTAGTTTTTTCGGTAAAGTCACGTAGAAGAGAAACAACAAAATAATAATATATATAAAACAATAAAAAAAATTCTCACGACGTTTCGACCATAACTCAAACGGTCATCTTCAGGTGTGTTGGTTCGCATAAATTTATTTTTAAACGGCGCATTTATTTATTTATAAAAAAAAACGTTAGCGCCACGCACAGCGATTTGGCAGTTTACCCAGGACTAGTCCATCTATATTCTGAAAAGAGGAGGGGGGAGACACATTTTTTTATAATGTATGCTGTCTAAAGCCACTGTAAGCGAGAACAATCAATGAAGACCTGAAATGGTTTAACACATCCTTCCAATGATTGCTAAGCCAAAATCCATCTTCTCGGTTGAAATTGTCTCTGTGTTTGTAAGCCATCTGGCTACCATGAGAGATTCGTTCATAAGGCTATCCACATATACCTCCTGTATACCAGGCGAGGTAGTCAACATCTCCCTTGTGAGAGAGAGATGGAGACAACAGGGTCCAGGATCAAACCCACGACCTCCTGTAGACCAGGCGAGGTTGTCAACATCTCCCTTGAGAGAAAGAGAGAGAGACGCAGACACAACAGGGTCCAGGGATCGAACCGACGACCTCCTGTAGACCAGGCGAGGTAGTCAACATCTCCCTTGTGAGAGAGATGGAGACACAACAGGGTCCAGGGATTGAACCCACGACCTCCTGTACACCAGGCGAGGTAGTCAACATCTCCCTTGAGAGAGAGATGCAGACACAACAGGGTCCAGGGATCGAACCCACGACCTCCTGTACACCAGGCGAGGTAGTCAACATCTCCCTTGAGAGAGAGAGAGAGAGACGCAGACACAACAGGGTCCAGGGATCGAACCCACGACCTCCTGTACACCAGGCGAGGTAGTCAACATCTCCCTTGAGAGAGAGACGCAGACACAACAGGGTCCGGGGATCGAACCCACGACCTCCTGTACACCAGGCGAGGTAGTCAACATCTCCCTTGAGAGAGACGCAGACACAACAGGGTCCAGGGATCGAACCGACGACCTCCTGTAGACCAGGCGAGGTAGTCAACATCTCCCTTGTGAGAGAGATGGAGACACAACAGGGTCCAGGGATTGAACCCACGACCTCCTGTAGACCAGGCGAGGTAGTCAACATCTCCCTTGAGAGAGAGAGAGACGCAGACACAACAGGGTCCAGGGATCGAACCCACGACCTCCTGCACACCAGGCGAGGTAGTCAACATCTCCCTTTCGAGAGAGAGAGAGACACACAGACACAACAGGGTCCAGGGATCGAACCCACGACCTCCTGTAGACCAGGTGAGGTAGTCAACATCTCCCTTGTGAGAGACGAAGACACAACAGGGTCCAGAGATGGAACCCACGACCTCCTGTAGACCAGGCGAGGTAGTCAACATATCTCTTGTGAGAGAGAGACGCAGACACAACAGGGTCCAGGGATCGAACCCACGACCTCCTGAGACCAGGCGAGGTAGTCATCCTCCTCGCCACCGTGATGATAATGAGAGAGAGTTTGTTGATGTGGTAGTTGATGGTCCGTGGGGCATCTGCTGGGTCTGTCCCGTGACCTGCACCTAGCCTGGCACAGCAGCACAACCCATGGCACCTGTGTGGGTGCGTCCCGTGACCTGCACCTAGCCTGGCACCTCACGGTGCACGTGGCCTTTGTGACGTCACCGTCGACGAGTTGGCGAATGGGCGGGGCTCGTGGCATTGGGCGTCGCTCGTGGCGCGATCATTGAGCAGGGGGATCGATCACGTTATTTATATATTGGCCCAGCTATTTATTTATATGGCGTTAACCCCGCCCCCTCACTAACCCCTACCCAAGATGGCCGCCCGGTCGACGATGAGCACGCGACGCCGCCATGTTTGTTGTGCTTTTTGGTCACGCCCAACTTCCGGTCGTCTCCGTGGCAACGGCCGGGGGTGGGGCGGGAGGGGAAGAAAGTGACGTCACCCACCGCAACGGCGAGCTTCGGTCTCAGTGGCAGTGAGCGCGGGGGTGGGCGGGGCGAAGGGGAGCGACGGAAGTGACGTCGCCCCCTTTGGTAACGGAGTCGTCTCCGTGGCAACGGCGGGGGGAGGGGCAGCGACGGAAGTGACGTCGCCCACAGCAACGGCGGAACTCTCCCTGGCAACGGTGGGGCGGGGGGGGAGGAGGCAAGGGACGGAAGTGACGTTGCCCCCCAGCAATGCCGTGCCTCTCCCTGGCAACGTTGGGGCGGGGTGCATCCGGGGGGGCGGGGTCGAGGGACGGAAGTGACGTCACCTCGCAGCAAACGCCCCGGCGTCGTCTCCGTGGCAACGACCGCTTGTGGTCTCCATGGTAACGTCAACAATTCAATTCCTAGGCGCTATCGAAGCGAGCGAGCTAGCGGGCTGCTTCGAGATAATTATTTAACATTTAACTTTTTTTATTTTCTTCCCCCAAATAAACATCTCCTTTTAATAACACGTCTTAATTCACCCGTTTTATTTTATTTCATTCGTAAGTTTTCTTTTTTTTAAAAAAAATTTCGTTTAATTTTTTTCGTGTTGATTTTACCAACCTAAACTTTTTCCACCCTTCCGTTCCGGCGCAGTTTCTGGTGAGTTTCACATTTATACTGCTGCTGCTGGTGTGCCAGGCTAGGTGCACCAGGAGGTGGTCACGTGACAGACCCAGGTGCTACAGCTTGCGCCGCTGCTGCTGCTGGTGCCAGGCTAGGTGCACCAGGAGGTGGTCACGTGACAGACCCAGATGCTACAGGTTGCGCCGCTGCTGCTGCTGTGCCAGGCTAGGTGCACCAGGAGGTGGTCACTTGACAGACCCAGGTGCTACAGGTTGCACTGCTGCTGTGCCAGGCTAGGTGCACCACTTACTCTGTGTGCCCCTCCCCCTCTCCCCACTGTCCCCGCAGGCCATGGCGAGTGTGTGGAGCCGATCCGCAGAGGCGGAGCTCCGCGCCGGGGCCCCGCGCTCCGAGGCGGAGCTCCGCGCTGGGGCTCTGCGTGAGTGGGGCGACGCGCAGAGCTCCGCGTCGGGGCTCGCCGCGGCCGCCTGGGAGCGCGAGGCGGAGCTCCGCGCTGGGGACCTCGCGGAGACGGCTCAGAGGGAGAGCACTCGGGCACTGGGTGAGTGGTGGGTGGGTGGTGGGTTAGTGGGTGGGTGGGTGAGTGAGTGAGTGGGTTAGTGGGTGGGTGGGTGGTGGGTTAGTGGGTGGGTGGGTGGGTGAGTGAGTGGGTGAGTGAGTGAGTGGGTGAGTGGGTGAGTGAGTGAGTGGGTGAGTGAGTGAGTGGGTGAGTGAGTGAGTGGGTTAGTGGGTGGGTGGGTGGTGGGTTAGTGGGTGGGTGGGTGGGTGAGTGAGTGGGTGGGTGAGTGAGTGAGTGGGTGAGTGGGTGAGTGGCTGGGTGAGTGGGTGAGTGAGTGAGTGGGTGAGTGGGTGAGTGAGTGGGTGAGTGAGTGAGTGGGTGAGTGGAGGGGTGGGTGGGTGGGTTAGTGGGTGGGTGAGTGGGTGAGTGAGTGAGTGGGTGAGTGGGTGGGTGGGTGGGTGAGTGGGTCGGTGAGTGAGTGGGTGAGTGAGTGAGTGGGTGAGTGGGTGAGTGAGTGAGTGGGGTGAGTGAGTGAGTGGGTGAGTGGGTGGGTGAGTGGCTGGGTGAGTGGGTGAGTGGGTGGGTGGGTGAGTGGGTGAGTTAGTGAGTGAGTGTGTGGGTGGGTGGGTGGGTGAGTGGGTGGGTGAGTGGGTCGGTGAGTGAGTGGGTGAGTGAGTGAGTGGGTGAGTGGGTGAGTGAGTGGGTGAGTGAGTGAGTGGGTGAGTGGAGGGGTGGGTGGGTGGGTTAGTGGGTGGGTGGGTGAGTGGGTGAGTGAGTGGGTGAGTGAGTGGGTGAGTGAGTGGGTGGGTGAGTGGGTGGGTGGGTGAGTGGGTCGGTGAGTGAGTGGGTGAGTGAGTGAGTGGGTGAGTGGGTGAGTGAGTGAGTGGGTGAGTGAGTGAGTGGGTGAGTGGGTGAGTGGCTGGGTGAGTGGGTGAGTGGGTGGGTGGGTGAGTGGGTGAGTTAGTGAGTGAGTGTGTGGGTGGGTGGGTGAGTGGGTGAGTGGGTGGGTGGGTGAGTGAGTGGGTGGGTGAGTGGGTGAGTGGGTGGGTGAGTGGGTGAGTGGGTGAGTGGGTGGGTGGGTGAGTGGGTGAGTGAGTGGGTGAGTGAGTGAGTGAGTGGGTGAGTGAGTGGGTGAGTGAGTGGGTGAGTGGGTGAGTGAGTGGGTGGGTGAGTGAGTGAGTTACTGAGTGAGTGGGTGAGTGGCTGGGTGAGTGAGTGACTGAGTGAGTGAGTGACTGAGTTTGTGAGTGAGTGACTGAGTGAGTGAGTGGGTGAGTGGGTGAGTGAGTGGGTGAGTGAGTGAGTGAGTGGTGGGTGAGTGAGTGGGTGACTGAGTGAGTGAGTGACTGAGTGGGTGAGTGAGTGGGTGACTGAGTGAGTGGGTGGGTGAGTGAGTGAGTGAGTGGGTGAGTGAGTGAGTGAGTGGGTGAGTGAGTGAGTAGGTGAGTGACTGAGTGAGTGGGTGAGTGGATGAGTGAGTAGGTGGGTGAGTGAGTGAGTGGGTGAGTGGGTGAGTGAGTGAGTGGATGAGTGAGTGAGTGGGTGGGTGAGTGAGTGGGTGAGTGAGTGGGTGGATGAGTGAGTGACTGAGTGAGTGAGTGACTGAGTGAGTGGGTGACTGAGTGAGTGAGTGGGTATCTGAGTGAGTGAGTGGGTGAGTGACTGAGTGTGTGAGTGGGTGACTGAATGAGTGAGTGACTGAGTGAGTGACTGAGTGGGTAACTGAGTGAGTGAGTGGGTGGGTGAGTGAGTGACTGAGTGAGTGACTGAGTGAGTGAGTGACTGAGTGAGTGGGTAGTGAGTGGGTGAGTGAGTGAGTGAGTGGGTGAGTGAGTGAGTGAGTGGTGGGTGAGTGAGTGAGTGAGTGGGTGACTGAGTGAGTGAGTGACTGAGTGGGTGAGTGAGTGAGTGGGTGACTGAGTGAGTGAGTGGGTAGGTGGGTGGGTGAGTGAGTGGGTGAGTGAGTGAGTGGGTGAGTGAGTGGGTGAGTGGGTGAGTGGATGAGTGAATAGGTGGGTGAGTGAGTAGGTGAGTTAGTGAGTGAGTGGGTGAGTGAGTGGGTGAATGAGTGAGTGTGTGAGTGAGTGGGTGGGTGAGTGGGTGAGTGAGTGGGTGAGATAGTGGGTGGGTGAGTGGGTGAGTGGGTGAATGAGTGAGTGTGTGAGTGAGTGGGTGGGTAAGTGGGTGAGTGAGTAACTGAGTGACTGAGTGAGTGAGTGGGTAACTGAGTGAGTGAGTGAGTGACTGAGTGAGTGAGTGACTGACTGAGTGAGTAGGTGACTGAGTGTCTGAGTGAGTGTCTGAGTGAGTGAGTGTCTGAGTGAGTGACTGAGTGAGTGAGTGGGTGCCTGAGTGAGTGAGTGACTGAGTGACTGAGTGAGTGAGGGAGTGACTGAGTGAGTGAGTGGGTAACTGAGTGAGTGAGTGACTGAGTGAGTGGATGACTGAGTGACTGGGTGAGTGAGTGGGTGAGTGAGTGAATGACTGAGTGACTTAGTGAGTGAGTGAGTGACTGAGTGGGTAACTGAGTGTGTGAGTGAGTGAGTAACTGAGTGAGTAACTGACTGAGTGAGTGACTGAGTGAGTAACTGAGTGAGTGGGTGAGTGTGTGAGTGAGTGGGTGAGTGAATGACTGAGTGAGTGAGTAACTGAGTGGGTAACTGAGTGACTGAGTGACTGAGTGAGTGACTGAGTGACTGAGTGAGTGAATGAGTGAGTGTGTGAGTGAGTGGGTGGGTGAGTGGGTGAGTGAGTAACTGAGTGACTGAGTGAGTGAGTGACTGACTGAGTGACTAAGTGAGTGACTGAGTGAGTGACTGAGTGAGTGAGTGGGTGGGTGAGTGGGTGAGTGAGTAACTGAGTGAGTGACTGAGTGAGTGAGTAACTGAGTGAGTGGTTGCCTGAGTGAGTGAGTGACTGAGTGAGTGAGTAACTGAGTGAGCGAGTGGGTGAGTGAATGACTGAGTGAGTGAGTAACTGAGTGAGTGACTAAGTGAGTGAGTGACTGAGTGACTGAGTAACTGACTGAGTGACTGAGTGAGTGAGTAACTGAGTGAGTAACTGAGTGAGTGAGTGACTGAGTGACTGATTGAGTGACTGAGTGAGTAACTGATTGAGTAACTGAGTGAGTAACTGACTGAGTGACTGAGTGAGTAACTGGGTGACTGAGTGACTGAGTAACTGAGTGACTGAGTGAGTGACTGAGTGACTGAGTGACTGACTAACTGAGTGACTGAGTGAGTGACTGAGTGAGTGACTGAGTAACTGAGTGACTGAGTGAGTGAGTGACTGAGTGAGTGACTGAGTGAGTGACTGAGTAACTGAGTGACTGACTGAGTAACTGAGTGAGTGACTGAGTGACTGAGTAACTGACTGAGTGACTAAGTGACTGAGTGACTAAGTGAGTGAGTGACTGAGTAACTGAGTGAGTGGGTAACTGAGTGAGTGACTAAGTGACTGAGTGACTGAGTAACTGAGTAACTGACTGACTGACTAAGTGACTGAGTGACTAAGTGAGTGAGTGACTGAGTAACTGAGTGACTGAGTGACTAAGTGAGTGAGTGACTGAGTAACTGAGTGAGTGGGTAACTGAGTAACTGAGTAACTGACTGACTGACTAAGTGACTGAGTGACTAAGTGAGTGAGTGATTGAGTAACTGAGTGACTGAGTGACTAAGTGAGTAGCTGAGTGACTGAGTGAGTGGGTAACTGAATAACTGAGTAACTGATTGACTGACTGAGTGACTAAGTGAGTGAGTGACTAAGTGAGTGACTGAGTGAGTGACTAAGTGAGTGACTAAGTGAGTGAGTGAGTAACTGAGTGAGTAACTGAGTGACTGAGTGACTGATTTAGTGACTAACTAAGTAACTGAGTAACTGAGTGAGTGACTGAGTGACTGAGTGACTAAGTGAGTGACTGAGTGAGTGACTGAGTGACTGAGTGAGTAACTGAGTGACTGAGTGACTGATTTAGTGACTAACTAAGTATCTGAGTAACTGAGTGAGTGACTGAGTGACTAAGTGAGTGACTGAGTGAGTGACTGAGTGACTGAGTGAGTGAGTGACTAAGTGAGTGACTGAGTGACTGAGTGAGTGAGTGACTAAGTGAGTGACTAAGTGAGTAACTGAGTGAGTGAGTGACTAAGTGAGTGAGTGACTGAGTAACTGAGTGACTGAGTGAGTTACTAAGTGAGTGAGTGAATGAATAACTGAGTGACTGAGTGAATAACTGAGTGAGTGAGTGACTAAGTGAGTGACTAAGTGAGTGACTAAGTGAGTGACTAAGTGAGTGACTGAGTGAGTGAGTGACTGAGTGAGTGAGTGACTGACTGAGTGAGTAACTGAGTAACTGAGTGACTGAGTGACTAAGTGAGTGACTGAGTGAGTGAGTGACTGAATGAGTGACTAAGTGAGTGAGTTACTGACTGAGTGAGTAACTGACTGAGTGAGTGACTGAGTAACTGAGCAACTGAGTGACTGAGTGAGTGACTGAGTGACTGACTAACTGAGTGACTGACTGAGTCACTGAGTGACTGAGTGAGTGGGTAACTCAGTGACTGAGTGAGTGAGTGACTGAGTGAGTGACTGACTGAGTGAGTGACTGAGTGAGTGACTGAGTGACTGACTAACTGAGTGACTGAGTGACTGAGTGACTGACTGAGTGAGTGACTGAGTGAGTGACTGACTGACTGACTAACTGAGTGACTGAGTGAGTGGGTAACTGAATAACTGAGTAACTGATTGACTGACTGAGTGACTAAGTGAGTGAGTGACTAAGTGAGTGACTGAGTGAGTGACTAAGTGAGT